AAACGCATGTCAAAGATGTTATAAATTGATTTGCATTTTAATGAGGGAAATAAGTATTTGACCCCCTCTCAATCAGAAAGATTTCTGGCTCCCAGGTGTCTTTTTTACAGGTAACGAGCTGAGATTAGGAGCACACTCTTAAAGGGAGTGCTCCTAATCTCAGCTTGTTACCTGTATAAAAGACACCTGTCCACAGAAGCAATCAATCAATCAGATTCCAAACTCTCCACCACGACCAAGACCAAAGAGCTCTCTAAGGATGTCAGGGACAAGATTGTAGAACTACACAAGGCTGGAATGGGCTACAAGACCATTGCCAAGCAGCTTGGTGAGAAGGTGACAAGAGTTGGTGTGATTATTCGCAAATGGAAGAAACAGAAAAGAACTGTCAATCTCCCTCGGCCTGGGGCTCCATGCAAGATCTCACCTCGTGGAGTTGCAATGATCATGAGAACGGTGAGGAATCAGCCCAGAACTACACGGGAGGATTTTGTCAATGATCTCAAGGCAGCTGGGACCATAGTCACCAAGAAAACAAATGGTAACACACTACGCCGTGAAGGACTGAAATCCTGCAGCGCCCGCAAGGTCCCCCTGCTCAAGAAAGCACATATACATGCCTGTCTGAAGTTTGCCAATAAACATCTGAATGATTCAGAGGACTTCTGGGTGAAAGTGTTGTGGTCAGATGAGACCAAAATGGAGCTCTTTGGCATCAACTCAACTCGCCGTGTTTGGAGGAGGAGGAATGCTGCCTATGACCCCAAGAACACCATCCCCACCGTCAAACATGGAGGTGGAAACATTATGCTTTGGGGGTGTTTTTCTGCTAAGGGGAAAGGACAACTTCACCGCATCAAAGGGACGATGGACGGGGCCATGTACCATCAAATCTTGGGTGAGAACCTCCTTCCCTCAGCCAGGGCATTGAAAATGGGTCGTGGATGGGTATTCCAGCATGACAATGACCCAAAACACACGGCCAAGGCAACAAAGGAGTGGCTCAAGAAGAAGCACATTAAGGTCCTGGAGTAGCCTAGCCTGTCTCCAGACCTTAATCCCATAGAAAATCTGTGGAGGGAGCTGAAGGTTCGAGTTGCCAAACGTCAGCCTCGAAACCTTAATGACTTGGAGAAGATCTGCAAAGAGGAGTGGGACAAAATCCCTCCTGAGATGTGTGCAAACCTGGTGGCCAACGACAAGAAACGTCTGACCTGTGTGATTGCCAACAAGGGTTTTGCCACCAAGTACTAAGTCATGTTTTGCAGAGGGGTCAAATACTTATTTCCCTCATTAAAATGCAAATCAATTTATAAAATATTTGACATGCGTTTTTCTGGATTTTTTTGTTGTTATTCTGTCTCTCACTGTTCAAATAAACCTACCATTAAAATTATAGACTGATCATTTCTTCGTCAGTGGGCAAACGTACAAAATCAGCAGTGGATCAAATACTTTTTTCCCTCACTGTATATCCATGCTGCCATCTGGCTGAATGTACACACAACAGTGAATGTATATGTGTATATAATATGTATTGTTCTGTTTACTTTTCCTGCTTGTGCTTTTATGTTATGATGCGTTCATGAAAGCTTGCATGGTCAGTGACTCAAATGGCCCCTCGCTTGCCCAAGTCCGGTGGAAAGCATCTGGTGGATATAACCCAATAGTGTACCACTTCATTTTGTAGCCCACCCTCGAGATTTGTGTCCTCTTTAAAGGAATGGAATGACCTATTGGCAAGGGAAAGTCATGGATTCTCATTGGATGAATGAAACGTGGGGCATAAATCACGTGACATTGAGGAAGCAAAATCGGGAGGTCTCCTTAATTCGTGATAAACACTCAGATGATGTTTATTGACATTTTAGTCTTAATTAACAAAAAAACGAATTTTGAATAGGACTATAAATTGAATAAATGATAAGAAAATTTGAAAAAAGTGGCGGTTTTTTAACGTTAGCACCACGGATAGCGATTTGACAGTTTGTCAAAACTCTTTCGTATGTAATTGAACATTTATTTGGGCACTGCAAGAGCAAAGCATAAATAGCGTATTGAAGTGGCCACAACCGAACATTCCCCTTGGTGCATTTGGAGATAGATAATAACAACTAAATCGTAGAAAACATGTTGAGGAGCTCTAAGTGGATATTTTTGAGAAAAAAAAAACATCTGAGCACGCACGTTGGTAATACTGTACAAGAGTAAAGTTTTTTTGACTTTTACATATTTTTGTTACAACTGCTTGAGGGTATGATGAGTATTTAAAATTCATAACATGCGGAGTGAATGTGGCTGCTTCACGATATCCTGATTGGTCTTTGAAAATGTGCCAGCTCCTCCGCGGTGTGAGCTAACGCACCCAACCTTTTTAATAATTCATGGACATAGGTCATTACTGTTCATTAAAATCCTTTGACCCCTTTTATATTTCTCAAAACTAATGAGCAATCGTGAGGCCATGAAAAGCGCACTAATGTTCTGTTACTCCATACGTTCAAGCTATGCACTAAACTTAGCTGTGCTTTGTTGATAATTACTGCGACACCGTATTTGTCAAAACATAGATAACTTTGTGTTTGTAATTTGTTTTAATTATCTAACCTGTGGAACTCTGTAACTCCTCTTCAGGCTCAATGAATGTTGAATGTATATATTCATGTATTTGTGTACTCATTTAATATATCGTTAATGACTACTGTTTCAGGAGTGCATAATGTAATCATAATCAGCCATGCTCTCTCCATTCCTGGATGAATGCCTACCCATAATACTCTTACCATCCCTCCAGTATTGTCATGGATACATCCAACTCGCTTCTGCACATGAGCTCATTGCATCGCTTCATCTCCACAATGGTCATCCTTTTGATTTAAAGCTTTCGTTACTGCAGGGATTCATATTCTAGGTTCTTTCAGTAAAGCCACGTAGAAGGGAAACAATAAAATAATAAAAATATAAAACAATAAAATTCTCAAGCAATCATCATCAGGTGTGAAAACCACAGCAAGAAAATGTTCTTGCTGTGGTTTTCACATATTGCCTACTGTGGTGGCATATGATGATGATTGCTTGTGTTGCCGTCGAAACGTCGTGATATTTTTATAGTTTTATATTTTTATTAATTTATTGTTTCCCTTCTACGTGACTTTACTGAAAGAACCAAGAATATATTGGTCATCCTGTTGAGCGTGTGCCTTCCTTTAGCTGCCAATCTGTCATCAGTCTCATCCATTAGCCGTCAACCCTTCTGCGACGTGTGCTACCCATGCCCACCTCGTTTTCTTTAAAATGTACAAATAATACCGTAATAATAATCATTTACAGCCCATTGTCAATCCACTGCTCGATGGACTCCCACACGCCATGTCGGCTATGGGAGTTAGTTACCGCACCCTGCATGACGAATGTCAGTAGTGCAGGTTGGTAAAGCGGAAACCCAGTACGGGCTCGGTTATCACTCGCTACTGCTGTTAGTTTTGGCTTCCAATCAAACTCAGGTCATCGGGTTCATAACGCAGCGTGCTATCCACTGCACCGCTGCTTCACGTCATATGCCACCACAGTAGGCAATATGAAAAAATAATTTTATGCATCAGAAACGCAGCCATGCCTTCCCTTTGAAAATCTAAATGGTGGCATAGAAAACGTGCTCTTGGTATTGGTGGCCCCTCTCCGCTTGGGTGGAATGCCCACCTGCTCTATCTCAGCTGTCCACGGGGCTAACGTGCACCTAATTCACAGAACTCCCCAGTTTTACACACATGGCGGGAGACTCGCACAACAGGGAGCTTTCTCACCATCTCATGCTGTCATAGGAAAATCACACACATTTCTATAATGGAAGAATCACTGGCATCATCATCATCATGTATTATTTATAGCACACTTCCCATGCAGTCCAAATCTAGGCACCAGAACACGTGGTATGAGATCATTGCTCCGTAAATAAGCGATCGCAGATTAAATATAACGTTCAAAAACAAGACGCTATAAACAATACACACAATGGAAAATGAACAAAATTGGCCCATTAAACTGTGGAGATTGCAAATCAGTCACACGTAATAAAAAGTTACTTCTCCCATGAAAAGGTAGGGGATCTGAAATTCCTGAAAGCCTGCGAATGCCGTGACAGCACCCATCACCAATCCTTTCCCCTCTCCCTCACTAGCAACTGCCCGAACGGGTTCATGACAGTGCAATTGCACAATTCACGCACCCTAATCGCGCTTGTTCAATTTACTCTCGAGCGCATACTCACCCTTCTCACACACTTTCGGACACCGTCTTTCCTTCTGTAAAAGCAGGATTATAGGCATAGTCATAATATTAATATTTTTCTTTTTTTCTTCCAAATTTCAAGAGAAACTGACCTTCCACCAACACAAATCAAGCCCTGTGAGTTGTAATGACATGGGCCTTACACCCGTTCCCTATCTTTGCCTGATAGGTAGGTATATTTATTATTTTAGTGTCCCAATTGTCTATGTACAGCACAGCATATGATAAGTAATATATGCAAAAGCTTGACATTCACAGACCCATTCAATGTAGTCTATATATGCGATTGGCTTTCATTCCCAGATCTGTTATTGCAAATGCATGCCTTTGATTTCAATAATTACACACGCTTCAAGGTGTGTTTTTTTGTTGTTGTCTACTTTACCCATGCTGCATAGATATTCAGACTAAAGGTCATAAAAGCTATCCACCGTGTAGCATTGTGCTACACTAAAAGCGTAAAGAATAAGTGCGAAGCCACAACGTTGGATGCGTAAGTGGCTGTCTGATGTGACAGGGAGCACTTTGAGGCAGCGACTAAAAATGTATGCGCCTTTGCAGCCAAACAAATTTTAAGACATGCGTGACGGTTGTGCGATTTCCTATATGCTGGCTAATGCATTGCAAGGGAATCTAGGAAAATGCGTTACCGTTTAAATCATCTTTCCATGTACTCGTGTGTGTGTGTGTGTCACCCCCCGTCTCGCCCCAAGCTGCTGGGTGGCATGGGAAGCGAGCCTCGCCGCTTTCTACGGCCCCACGGCACTCGTCGTTCTGGCCACGTGCGTCTACCTCATCCGCACGGCCGTGTGCCTGCACCGCCGCCCTGGCCAGCAGCGCTACGAGCTCAAGGACACGCACCCGGCCGGCCCTCGCGGGGCCCCCGGACAGCCGCCCCACATCATCGTCGTCCACCCACCCCCGCGCTGCTGCCACCATCACGTGGCCAGCCACGGCGGGCCCGAGTGCGGCCGCGGAGGCGCGGCCCGCTGCGCCGGCTCTCCGTCGCCGGCGCTCGCCAACGAGCACACGTACCCCGAGCAGCTCGCGGGCACGGCTCTCGTGCTGCTGCTGTACGCCATCTCCTGGACGCTGGGCGCCCTGGCCGCGTGGCACTCCGACCAGCTGCTGTCCGTGGTCTTCAGCTGCCTGTTCGGCGGCACGGTGCTCACGCTGGGGCTGTTCGTGTTGGTGCACCACTGCGCCAAGCGCGACGACGTGTGGCACCTCTGGTTCGGTCGCTGCTGCTGCTGCCGCTGCCGCTGCTGCCGCCGCTGCTGCGGAGGAAAAGGCGGCGGCGTGACCCAGGCGGAGGTCGCCGCCGCCGCCTCCTCCTCCTCCAAGCTTCCGCATCAACCGTCACGGAGCGAGGAGCATGATCAAGAGTGCAAGCTCATAACTAATGGCCAGCTGTCGAGCGTGGGCGGTGGGAATATGTACGTGGTGGTGAGCGGAAACCCGCCTTCGTTGGTGAGCGACAGTGTGGCCGCCATCAGCAGCATACCCCTGGCCTCAACGGAGCACCAGTGCAAGATGACCAACCTGCAAGTGGAGAACATTGCCAGGGCGAATGTGCAGTTCGCACAGAGCAAGGAGAAAAGCATCGATGAGCGACTGAGCGAGATCAATGAGCAGGCGAGCGCCGACTGTCTCACGAGCAGGACTCTGCCGAGGAAACACTGTGCAAGGGGTCGGAGGAAAAACAGTCTGCAGGCCAACAGGCAAAGCTCCACGGGCGACTTGGTTTATGACGTGCCAAAAATCACGACGGAGGGAGGCGTCAGCGCGCAGTACAGTGAATTTTCCACACTTTCTCTCTGCTGTCGGTCACAGGAAAGTGGATCTGGGAACGACGATGCACCTGTGGTGCAGGCGGCCTCTCAGGAGGCTTTCTGCATGGCGTACGGCATCCACTTTCCTGTTCACAATGTGGTATCGCCTGCTGATAACATTGAGCTAAATGCCACAGTCCCATTAATCACAGGCACCTGCCCAAATGTCAAAACGGGACCCTGGAGGACTGAGACAACTGTATGAGCACATTATCATACCATTCAAAATGAAAGAGCTGATAAAAAAATTACACAAACACTGAAAACATTTGAAAATGCAAATGACTCTGGACCCACGTATATATTTTTAGTACGTATTGTAAAAACGAAATATTTTATTGGTTGTCAGTCGAAACAAAATATTGAAGATGCTGAATGTTCTGTAAACACTCTATAAAAATGCTTTTCAAATGCATCGTCACCCTGCAACACTCCAAAAATATTGATGTTGCATAGATGTATAGTCATCAATGGATGTAACCTTTTGGCATACCGTAGATGTTTCTATTGCTGTCTGCAAAGATATTTTTCTCTCTCCTGGAATGGCTCTTTATTGCCACCTGCTGTGCAGATGAAATATTATTTAGAGTATGAGTTGGTGGTGGTGGCGGTGGCGGCGGTGGTTGTATCTCAGAGGGATGTAAATGTAAAATAGGACCATTAAGTGCTTTTTGAAGAATACCCGTACTTTAAAATATATTGCATCAAACAATTATGAGTGCCAATGTAAGGATTACCGACGGTGGTTGATTGGACACAATTTATTGGTGTTGATCGTATGATGCTCATATGCAATGTAAAATATAGGGTTAACATCTTGTAATTTTTTCAGTGCATGCATCAGCAGAAATAGGCAGGAACGACAACAATGTGAGTTGACTTGAATCCCATTGATTTTACGTAAGATGTCTGTAGCGAAGCATTCACTGACAGTACATTCACTTGTTATTGTGGATATACAGTTATTAGTTGTCCAAGGTGTACTTCACATGCCAAATAAATTGTCGGGTTTCTACATAGCGACGTGACACCAGAGTGCAACAATCTAAATCCATGTCTGACATAATCCCTTCGACTGTAAGTCATTGTGAGTGAATGTGAATGCTGTATGCTGTGTGTGATATCAGTTATGCAAGTAGGCCGAGTTATTTTGTACGTTAATTTTGTTTATTTTATTAATCAACCAATGATGTGTGCAGCAACACAGTTGCAATGTGTACACTTTAAAAATAATTCACAATATCATTGACATTGAAATTCTTGACCACTAGGTGGCATTACAGTGATACAATATTTTCATTTGGTAACGTCCCACGTACAATGCAGTTGCGGAACGATAGTGTGGTGAATACGTTTACTTCATCAAGTAATTTACAGCACGTTTTCTTTTTAACAATATAAGAATGAAAAAATTGCAATCCATTACTTCTTCATATTGAGTATTTATGACATTCAATAATATTACTTATGTATTCTTCGGGAACTGCTTGCTTTTTATCTCCCATTCGGATTCCACTATATATTTAAAAAAAAAAATGATACAGTCAGAGGCTCTCTCCTTATGCTTAGGAACGTAAATCAATGCAATTAATTCTAAAACAATCTTGACACTTTATTCTTTGGGTATTTCGGTAAAGTAACGTAGATAGGTTAAAATAAAATATTTATTATTTTGTTTACCGAAAGACCCAAAGAACATTAATTCCCGCAGTCACTAAAGCTTTAAGTCAAGATTTAATCTGACACCTTTATTGTTTAATAACTAACAGCAATGCCAGTCCATCTACATGTGGTATTCTGCAACAATTTGCACTTGCATGATTGCAGTAGAGTAATCTAGTTTTTTTACTTACCTTTTGCACACTTGCACATTTGTTTATGTACCTCGATAATAAGTAATTGAAATCATTCAAAGAGGCTATGTATGTACAGTGAGGGAAAAAAGTATTTGATCCCCTTCTGATTTTGTACGTTTGCCCACTGACAAAGAAATGATCAGTCTATAATTTTAATGGTAGGTTTATTTGAACAGTGAAAGACAGATTAACAACATCAAAATAAAGAAAAACGCATGTCAAAAATGTTATAAATTGATTTGCATTTTAATGAGGGAAATAACTAATTGACCCCCTCTCAATTAGAAAGATTTCTGGCTCCCAGGTGTCTTTTGTACAGGTAACGAGCTGAGATTAGGAGCACACTCTTAAAGGGAGTGCTCCTAATCTCAGCTTGTTACCTGTATAAAAGACACCTGTCCACAGAAGCAATCAATCAATCAGATTCCAAACTCTCCACCATGGCCAAGACCAAAGAGCTCTCCAAGGATGTCAGGGACAAGATTGTAGACCTCACAAGGCTGTATTGGGCTACAAGACCATTGCCAAGCAGCTTGGTGAGAAGGTGACAACAGTTGGTGCGATTATTCGCAAATGGAAGAAACACAAAAGAACTGTCAATCTCCCTCGGCCTGGGGCTCCATGCAAGATCTCACCTCGTGGAGTTGCAATGATCATGAGAACGGTGAGGAATCAGCCCAGAACTACACGGGAGGATCTTGTCAATGATCTCAAGGCAGCTGGGACCATAGTCACCAAGAAAACAATTGGTAACACACTACGCCGTGAAGGACTGAAATCCTGCAGCGCCCGCAAGGTCCCCCTGCTCAAGAAAGCACATATACATGCCCGTCTAAAGTTTGCCAATGAACATCTGAATGATTCAGAGGACAACTGGGTGAAAGTATTGTGGTCAGATGAGACCAAAATGGAGGTCTTTGGCATCAACTCAACTCGCCGTGTTTGGAGGAGGAGGAATGCTGCCTATGACCCCAAGAACACCATCCCCACCTTGGCCATGTACCGTCAAATCTCGGGTGAGAACCTCCTTCCCTCAGCCAGGGCATTGAAAATGGGTCGTGGATGGGTATTCCAGCATGACAATGACCCAAAACACGGTCAAGGCAACAAAGGAGTGGCTCAAGAATAAGCACATTAAGGTCCTGGAGTGGCCTAACCAGTCTCCAGACCTTAATCCCATAGAAAATCTGTGGAGGGAGCTGAAGGTTCGAGTTGCCAAACGTCAGCCTCGAAACTTTAATGACTTGGAGAAGATCTGCAAAGAGGAGTGGGACAAAATCCCTCCTGAGATGTGTGCAAACCTGGTGGCCAACTACAAGAATCGTCTGACCTCTGATTGCCAACAAGGGTTTTGCCACCAAGTACTAAGTCATGTTTTACAGAGGGGTCAAATACTTATTTCCCTCACTAAAATGCAAATAAATTTATAACATTTTTGACATGCGTTTTTCTGGATTTTGTTGTTGTTATTCTGTCTCTCACTGTTCAAATAAACCTACCATTAAAATTATAGACTGATAATTTATTTGTCAGTGGGCAAACGTACGAAATCAGCAGGGGATCAAATACTTTTTTCCCTCGCTGTATGACTAGGATTTAGCGATTTTGCCATATAGCTCTCCAATCTGTTTTTGGGCTATACCACGTGTTTTTCGGCACAATGTCCGATGTTTTACCCTTCAGGAACTGAACAAGCTCACCACCACGTGAAGCGAAACGCCGGATATCATGCTAAACAACACGCGGTATAACCCAAAAACAACAGAGGAGTTATATATCCTATGTATTTCTCAAGTTACTGTACTGTCACATGAATAATTGATATATTTAGAGATTGAACTCGTCTATGTTACTGGGGTTGTTTAATTATGTTAGGGAGCGCAGCAGTAAATATGGATTTTATTCACGTTTGAAGAATTCTTCACTGGTCATGCAATGATCAATAGAGTCGTCAATTGAAATGTATTATGATATTTGGTATGTGCATTAAATCACGCGTTTGAAAAATAAATTATTGTTGAATTATGGAAATGATATGCAAATGGTATGCACATATTATGTATGTCAATGGTCGAACTCTACTGTTCAAATGTCACAGAAAAAAAAGGGATAGATAATACAAAGGAGGTGGGAGGAAAAACGAGGCATGATAATCTATTTAATCTAATTGTGATTCTGAAGTGTAACAATTTACTTGGGAGTTTGAATCTTTACATGCTTATTACGTTTAATTGAAATATGTGGTTGGATAAATTTGCGCAAAAACACCCTGTAAGACAAAATACCCTATAATAATCTTTGGATATCCAGCATATACGCAAAGCACAGGAGTGGAACTATCCACACCTCCGATTAGCACGGTTGGCCACTTATGGTGCGAAATACTTTTAACATGCATACTTACAAGCTGCAAAGCATTATACATTTGTTCATCATTGTTTATGGGAGGAAACATTTACAAGGGGCATAAGTATCCTTGTATGACAACAGAATGTGATGCGGGAGATGCTTTATTCCCTGCAATGTTGCATTCATTAACACGCCAATCAATCAACGTCATCAACAAATGAGGTGTTCTGTTATATTAGAAAAACGATGCTGGTTTGATTCTTAAATTGTGTTCTTTATGATTTCCTATTCTATGTATTTGAATGACGCATTGGGTAATCATTGTAATTGTTTAAAGTTGGGCCTCTTATGAACAAAACTAAGTCTTCGACACATTTCTTTTAACTCAATCTGCGGTCCTCACTCAGTGACATCCCAGCAGAGTGCTCGTGAAGTCACAGTATTGTCAACGTTAGCGATGTTGCGATATCGCGATACTACGATATAGCTATCATAGGATATGAGGCACGATGACGATATCATTCGTTTTGTGTCACTGTATTGGTAATTATATTTGCATAGAAATATTTTATTTCCAGAAAAAAATATTTTCCGAAAAGACAAACTCGATATTTAAAGTTGTAAATAATTGGCTTACATCTATGAAATTACAGTAATGCTGAGTAAAAAAAAATGTCAGGAGTAATTTACAGCATGGCGACTATACACTGTTGCCTGATTATTTTCGTAATTGTTTTAACTGTGTAATTATTTTGTATGTCATTGGCGGCATGTGCGTTTATGAAGCTATGTTTTTGAAGCTATGATTTTGACAGTAGTTTGCATGGAGTCCATCAAATCTTGGACATGTCTATAAAAGCACATTAGCTTAGGCTCTTCCTTTCTTTTCTTTCATAACGCTCATACTTTGGGGGTCGATGGGCTCGTGTCCCAACTTATGCTGACGGCTTTTGTAAATTATTTGATCTCTTTGCTGCACCTTGACCGTGAATTTTAGAACAACAAAATTACCATACCAAAATCTAAGCCGTCATTTATACGCGTTACAAATTGCTCATGATTACAAGACTCGTGGCAGGCTTATGTTGAGCGAACTGCAGTTGAATACAATAAAAGTGCGATGTACAATTGCAGAGTTATTGTGGGAAACAGAATTCGCGGCAAACATAATATCGTGAAATGTAATATTGTATCGTGACCAGTGATATTTTGCGGCAGCCATAGTTGATGTGTTCATCTTCTGCAATGGTCACAGACAGACTTTTTCATTGAATACAGTAACTAATTTCTTCAAGTTCTGGCAAAATTAATGAGTAACATGATGTGGACTTCATAATCTTAAAGAACCAAAGTTGTGACACTCGTGTATGGTACTTGTAGCGTGGGCTAACATTTGAGTACTTGTGTAACCAAAATCACGCTTATCCTAAAAACCATGCTTTATCATAACAATACCATGCGTTATTTGCTCATATCTTATTGTACTTTATGGTCATGGTACGTTGACCCGGGGAATCGCTGCATTGTTGTGGAAACCTCAGTTTAAACTTACATTAATTGTTTGGTGGTAAAAAATAAACACTTTTGTAATTATGAATCTAGTACAGTACACAATAAATAAGACACTCATGATGCCTGATAAACATTATACTCAATTAAGAAATATTTTCAACAATTACTTTTGGGTGCAATCCTTGGCTGTTGTCAGTGTTAAATGGTTTGCTATGCATTCATAGCCCGCTTATGTAATGATCATCATTGTAAATTACTCGTGCATTTTCTTGTGCACACTGTATTGTTTAAATTGCAACACTTCAAAATAACCCAAGTAACTAACGAATTGTAGGTGGTAATGTTGAATTGCCCATACGTTTATAAATACGTGCAAGTATTTTTTTCATGACACTTGACATTTTTTTTGCTTAAGTCATTGTAAATGCTCATGGTCAACATTTTTTTCTTCATAAAAGCACTGCGTAAAATTATATATTCCTTAATATGTAGTGGCAGACAATAAATATTTCCAGGTTAATTATGCTTGCACATACAAGTTATTACATTCATTTACCTTCTTGCTGTTTCACAAGACATTTAAATAATCTACGGAAATGATGCAAAAAAAATTGTTTTGGGTTAAATAGGATCAGATGCTCTGTACAACTTTTATCTAGACGTATACAGCTAAACCTCAAGTGGACACTGTTTTGAACATGAATACAAAAAAGTGTTGATTTTTCCTTGGGTATTGTCTTTAATAAAATATAATTTCACTTTATTTTAATAAGATGCTGTTAAGTTTGGATAATTGAAAGAACGTAAACTAGAACAATAAAGCAGACAGTGTAATAATAATAATGCATGATGTATACAATATTTAGCAACAATTTTGGAAATAACATTTTTCTTGTTATTTCTTTTTAACAATTTATCTTCCCAGAGGAACACAAATGTAAAGTTAGGTCTGCCATCAATAATTTGATGCATAATGAACCATGTAACAAAACCTTGGCTCTCTTTTAGTCATCAAAAGTCTTTATGTACACTTATATTGGAATTTATAGTTTCAACATGCCAAACTTTATTTCATTTCATCTTGCACTCACACATGATCAATTTAAACCTACAATGTACTTTTTTTAAATACTATAATACATTTCTAAATTTTGATTTAAAGCTTTCGTGACTGCAGTGATTCATATTCTTGGTTCTTTCGGTAAAGTCACGTTGAAGGGAAACAATAAAATAATAAAATATATATAACAAAATTCTCACGACGTTTCAACTGCAACACAAGCAGTCATCATCAGGAGTTCTTGCCGTTGGTTTTCACACCCGATG